CCTGATCATCATCACAATCAGATCAACATCAAAATTCGCCGGCCCAACGGGCCAGAGGCGTGCTAAGATCTCCGGTAACTGGTTAACAATTCTCTAGTTCGCGCGCGCGGGGCGGCCCCTGGGGGTCCACGGACGAAAAGTACCCCGGCAAGGTCCTGAGAGAGTCCCGGGAGGAGTCCCCCAGAGCGCTCCAGGAGCGCTCCATGAGCGCACCAACAGGGCTCCGAGACGTCCCCGAGAGCCCCAAGAAAGGCCAAGAGGCCCCCAAGAGGCCCCCAAGATGGTACACGAGGGGTCCGACATGCCACAAGATCGCTCCAAGACGCCCAAGATAGCCCCCAGACGCCCCAAGAGGCCTCCAAGAGCACTCCCAAGAGGGCCCCCGGAGGCAAAATTCATTGTTTTTCCTTAGGTTTTTGAAAGATTTTGGAGCTTCCACCTTTTCGGTTCCCGACGCCCCAAGACGGCCCCAGAGGCCCCCAAGATCGCCCCAAGAGGGCCCAAGAGGCCCCCAAGAGGGCCCCAAGATGGCCCAAGAGGGCTCGAAGACGGCCCAAGAAGCCTCCAAGACGGTCCAAGAGGGCCCCAAGAACACCCCCAAAGGGGCCCCAGAGAGGGAACACGAAACAAAATTTCGAGCCCTCGGCCCTAAGAAGCCCCTACGAGGCCCCTAAGAGGCCCCAAAAGGCCCCCACGAGGCCCTCAGGAGGCCCCCAAGAGTCCCCCAAGCGGCCCCAGGAGGCCCCCCAAATGCCCCCCCGAGCGCCCCAGGAGTCCCCCAAGCGGCCCCAGGAACCCCCAAAGCGCCGCATTGACACCAGGCCCTCGGGCAAACGGCAGACATGAGACCGTATGGGCCGGCGGAATGAGCGAAGTGATTAAATAAGCATAATGACCTCCTCCTCCACCTCCGCATCCTCCCCCTCATCATCGGAAAACAGCATCATCACCATCATCAGCAACGTCATCATAATCAGCATCAGCACCATCATCATCATCATCATCATCATCATCATCATCATCATCATCAGAATAAGAGTCATGAACATCATCATCATCGTCATGAACATCATGATCATCACCATCAGCATCATCATCATCATCATCATCATCAGCAGCATCGAGCGACGGTATCACCCCCTCCTCCTCCTCCTCCTCCTCCTCCAACTCCTCCTCCTCCTCCTTAGCCTCCTCCTTCCTCCTCCTCCACCTCGTCATCGTCATCACCATCTTCATCCTCATCCTCATCCTGCTACTCCTCCACATCAACATCAACATCATCATCATCATCAACATCATCATCATCATCATCATCATCATCACCATCATCATGATCATCATCATCATTATCAGCATCATCGTCATCATCGTCACCATCATCACCATCATCAGAATAATCAGAAGCGTGATCATCATCATCACCATCACCATCACAATCGTCGCCATCATCATGATCATCATTAGCAACATCATCATCATCATCATCATCATCAGCATCATCATCATCAGCATCATCATCGTCATCATCGTCAACAACATCACCATCAATCATCATCATCCTCATCAGCATCAGCATCCTCCTCCTCATCATCATTCTCATCCCCATGACCACGTTATCCTCGCATGCATCATCTTCATCATGATCATCATCATCATCATCATCATCATCATCAGCATCATCATCATCATCATCATCATCCCCATCCTCCTCCTCATCATCCTCATCCTCCTCCTCATCCTCATCCTCGCCCTCATCATCATCAGCATCAGCAGCATCATCATCCTGACCGTTATCGTCCTCATTTTCATGCCCAGCTTCGCAAGTACCATCATCATCAGAAGCCAAAGCCTCATCATCACCATCATCATCAACAGTATCATCATCCTGAGCCTGATCATCATCCTCATTCTGGTCATAATCCGCATCCGCATCCTCATCCGCATCCTCATCCGCATCATTATCACCATCATCATCATCATCATCATCATCATCATCATCATCGTCGTCAGCATCACAATCATCATATTGAGCCTCACCATACCATCCTCATTATCACCATCCAGAGCCTCATCATCATCCTCATCCACATCCGCATCCTCGTCATTATCACCATCATCATCATCATCATCATCATCAGCATCATCATCATCATCATCATCATCATCATCATCATCATAAGCATCGCCGTCGTCATCGTCATCATCATCCTGATCCTCCTACTCATCATCATCATCATCATCGTCCTCATAATCCTTATCAGCATCACAACCATCATTTTCATCACGAGCACCAGCATCATCATCCAGAACCTCATCATAACCCGCATTCGCATACTGAGCATCATCATCATCATCATCAGCAGCAGAAGGCATCATCAGCATCATCAGCATCAGCATCATCATCGTTATCATCTTGAGCCGTCTCCTCATCCTGATCGTCATCCTCATTCTCATCACCATCCTCCAAAGCCCAAGCAATATCCGCATCCGCATCATCATCCTCATCCTCACCATCATCATCATCGTCATCATCATCATCAGCAGCAGCATCACGATATCATCGTCATCATGATCGCCATCATCATCATCATCATCATCATCATCATCATCATCATCATCCTAATCAGTATCATACTCATCATCAGCATCATCCTAATCATCATCACCGTCGCCATCAACAGCATCATTGTCATTATCAGGATCATCCTGAGCCTCATCATCATCCTCATCCTAATCAGCATCATCATCATCAGCAGCAGCAGCATCGTCATCATGATCATCATCGTCATCATCAGCCTCATCATCGCCCTCATACACATCCTCATCATCACCATCATAATCGTCATTGGAATAATCATCATCATATCATCATCATCATCATCAGCATCATCATCATCCACATCCTCAAAAGCCTCATCTTCATCCACATGCGCATCCTCGTCCTCATCCTCCTCATACGCATCCTCATGGTCATCATCATCATCATCACCATCGTTGCCCTCGTTCTCATCATCATCATGATCATCACCAGAATCAGCATCATCATCGTCCAGGGCCTCATCATCATCACCATCATCATCATCGTCCGCATCCTCATCCTCATCCTCGTCCTCGTCCTCATCAGCAGCATCACCATCATCATCACCACCATCATCATCGGTACCATCATACCCCTCATCATCATCATCATAATCAGCATCAACATCATCATGATCATGATCGTCGTCATAATGATCATCGTCGTCCTCAGCATCGTCATCAGCATCATAATCCTGAGCCGAAAAAGCATCCTAATCATCATCATCATTATCATCATCATCATCATCATCAACATCATCATCATCTACATCCCCATCCGCATTGCCATCCTCATTATCATAATCATCATCATCGTCATCAGAATCATCATTCTGAGCCTCATCACCAAACTCGTACTCAACCTCATCGTGATCAGCATCATCATCGTCAGCATCATCATCATCAACAGCATCATCATGATCATCATCATCGTCATCATCGCCAATATCATTATCATCCTGAGCCTCATCATCATCGTCAGGGTCAGATTCCTCATCGTCGTCCGAATCCTCAGCATCATCATTCTGGACATGGCATCATCATCCTCATCCTCATCAGCATCATCATCCCCCGTATCATCATCAGCAGCATCATCATCACCATCATCATCATGATCCTGAGCCGTATAACCATCCTCATCCTCATCAGCATTCTCATCATCGTCCTCATCATGAGCATCATCATCAGCATCAGCAGCAGCGGCGCAATCATCATCAGCATCACCATCAACATCATCCTCATCCTCCTCCTCGTCATCGTCGTCATGACCGTCATAAGCCTCCCCATTATCATCATCATCATCATCCTCATCCGCATCATCATCACCAGCATCATCATCCTGAGCCTTCTCATCCTCATCCTTATCCGCATCCTCATCATCATCCTCTTAGTCAGCAACATCGCCATGAACAGCATCGTCAGCATCATCATCAGCATAGTCATCCTGATGGTCATGCTCGTCCTCCTCCTTCACCTCCTCCTCATCATCATCATCCTCATCCTCATCGTCGTCCTCGTCCGCATCCTCATCCTGAAGCTCATAATCATCATCCTGAGCCACATTCTCATCGTCATCCTCAACCATAGTATTCTTACTATCCTCATCGTCCTCATCATCAGCATCATCACCATCATCATCCTCATGCTCATCATCATCAACCTAAACCGTATCATGATACGCATCCTCCTCCGCAGTCGCATCCTCATCCACATCATCCGCATCATCATCATCATCATCATCATCATCATCATCATCATCATTATAATAAGCATGATCATAATCATCCTCATCCTCGTCAACCTCAGGATCAGCAGCATCATCATCATCATCATCATCATCATCATCATCATCATCATCATCGTCATCATCGTCATCATCATCATCCTCATCACTTTCAGCAGCAGCATCATCATCAGCATGATCATCCTCATCCTCATCATCACCACCCTTCTCGTCATCAGCCTCAACAGCATCCTCATCCTCATCCTCTCAATCATCCTCACCATGCCCCCATCCTCCTCCTCCTCCTCATCCTCATCTTCATCAGCATCATCCTCCTCAGCATTAACGTCATCATCATCCTCAACATCCTCATCATCACCATCATCATCCTGAGCCTCGTTCTCACCATGCTCATCATCATCATCATCATCATCATCATCATCATCATCATCATCATCATCAGCATCATCATCAGCATCATATGTCTCGCCATTATCCCCATCATGGTCTTGCTCCTCCTCCTCATCATCATCATCTGCATCCTCCGCATCAACACAATCATCATCATCAGCATCAGCAGCATCATCATCAACAGCGTCATTATCATCCTTATCATCATCAGCATGATTATCCTCATCCTCGTCCTCATCATCATCCTCATCCTCGTCCTCCTTATCCCAATTATCATCACAATCAGCATCATCATCACCATCATCATCCTCATGAGTCTCATCATCATCATCATCATCATCATCATCATCATCATCATCATCATCGTCGTCGTCATCGTCATCATTATCCTCATCCTCATCATCCTCATCATCCTCATCATCCTCATCATCGTCATCATTCTCATCATCATTCTCCTCATCATCCTCATCATCAGCATCATCAGAATCTTCATTATCGCCCTACTCCTCACCATCATCCTCATCATCATCAGCATCATGAGCTTTATCAGTAGTATCATTATCATCCTCATCGTCAGTATCATCCTCATCCTCATCATCATCGCCATCAGCATCCTCATCCTCATGATCATCCTCATCATCATGAGCGTCAGTATCATCATTATCATCATCCTCCTCATCCTTATCCTCATCAACATCCTGATCCTCATCCTCATCATCATCCTCAACATCGCCCTCATGATCATCATCATCATCATCATCATCATCATAATCATCATTCTCATCATCATCCTCATCATCATCATCATCATCATCATCATCATCATCATCATCATCCTCATCCTCATCCTCATCCTCATCCTCCTCCTCATCGTCAGCATCATCCTCACTCTCATCATCATTACCATCCTAATCATCATCATCAGCATCAGTATCAACATCACCATCTCGTCATCATCGTCAGCATCCTTTTCATCCTGAGCCTCATTCCCCTCCTCATCATCATCAGCATCATCATCATCCTTATCAGCATCCTCACCCTCATCGTCATCATCATCAGCATCATCATCGTTCTCAGCACCATCCTCATCCTCATCATCATCATCATCATCGTCGTCAGCAGCATCATCATCAGCATCATCATCGTCATCATCATCCCCTCGTCCTTCTCCCATCCTCCTCCTCCTCCTCCTCCTCCTCTTCCGCCTCGTTCCCTCCTCCTCAGATTCGCGTCACGTGACAGATCTCAAGCTGCCGACCTCCCGATGCCAGGGCACGACTCCGAAGCGGTGGAGTCTGGGCACGCTCTGGCGGCGGACCTCTTCCAGCAGGCGCTGCGCCGCGGACGCGAACATCGCGCGCTTCTCGGCGGCCGCCTCCGCCGCCATGCCGGCCGCGAGGAGGCGGCGCTCCACGGCGCCCCCGCCGGCCTCGGCGGCCAGCGAGCCCAGCGTGTGCCCGCCTCCGCCAGCCACGGCCATCCCGAGGGGGGCAGCGCTGCACCGGCCGAGGGCGCCGGCCCTGCCCAGACCTCCCAGGTGTCGGACAGAAAACTAAACGGTGGAGTTGTCCTCGGCTCTCGGCTCGGCCTCTGGGGGCCCTCGCTGGGCCGCGGGGCCATCCAAAGAAAAGGCTCGGGGTGAAAGCCTGGCCCCGGGGGGAAGGGGGCCTCGAACTCCGGGCATACACAGCTGCATCGGTCCTGGCCGGGCCCAGCCTGGGCCCAGGCTGGTGCGTGCGCCCTCCTGGCCTCACCCTGGCCAGGATCGGTGTAGGTGTTGGGTGGTACGTGCAGGCAGCGCCCTCCGAAGGAGAGGGGGCTGTCGACGGGCCGCTCTGGGCGCCCCGAAACGGCTTGAGCCAGATGGCTACGGAAGCGGGGGGGGCAGCAGCAGCAGCAGGACCGAAGCCAGCGACGTCGTGTTCCTTCTTCTTGTTCATGTCGTGGGCCCCAAGGCTCTCGACCACCATCCCAAGACCGGGTTTCTGCCGAAGGGTGATGTTTGATGATCTCGGGGCTCCAAAACGGGCCCGGAAACGCCAAAGGCGTGGAAAAATGGAACGGCCGTGATTTTCAGCACAACGCCCAAAAGTCTGGGGAGGAGCTGTAAGAGGATGAACAAGGAGCAAGGACTGGCAGATGCGGTCACACGACCCAGTGGGCTTCAGCATCTCATGCGGCAGGATCGTAACCGACATCAGCATACTCTCCATCGTGATCACCCTCATCTGAGAGCGAGCAACCGTCACCACCATAACCATCAGCATCATCAACAACATCATCATCATCATCATCATCATCAGCAGCATCCGCATCAGCATCAGCATCAGCATCAGCATCAGCATCAGCATCAGCATCAGCATCAGCATCAGCATCAGCATCATCATCATCATCATCATCATCATCATCATCATCATCATCATCATCATCATCATCATCATCGTCAGCAGCATTATCATCATCGTCAGCAGCATTAACATCATCACCATCATCATCATTATCATTATCATCAGTATCATCAGTATTATCAGCATCACCACCACCACCACCACCACCACCATCATCATCATCATCATCATCATCATCATCATCATCATCATCATCATCGGCATCATCAGCATCAGCATCACCATGATAATCAGCATCATCATATTCATCGTCATCGTCATCATCATCACCATAGTCACTATCACCATCACGATGATCAGCATCATCGGCATCCTCATCAGCATCACAAGCATCGTCATCGTCACCGTCATATTCATCGTCATCATCGTCATCGTCATCAT